TTACAAAATTGTTTACTAAATTCCGGCCGGAATTAACTTTTTAATTTTTTCATTACAAAAATAGAAATTCTTAAAAATAACCCGCATTATGGTAAAATTGGCACAATTTTCACTTAATTGGCAGCTATGGTTTCATTAGTAAAATTATGAGTAATTCCGGCCTAATTTTTGATCGTTGCCCTTAACCAATCAAATCGAGAATCTGCCAGTCCAAATTTGTTGCGGCAGCTATGGTTAATGGTCCAAATTGTTGCGGCAGCTATGGTTAATATCGAAATAGAAGCTGTGCCGAAACTTTTCTCAACTTTGAGCGAAGATATCTCAATAAGAACCAGGCCAAATTTGATAAAAAATTTTTTATTTGAATTCTATGAATTAGTGGAATTCAAAAAAAAAAAACTATCAGATTTGACCTCAGGAACCCTCGCTCGAATTTTTTAAAAAATGAAATGATCGACATAAAGAACGTTTTCTGATTGGTGCATATTTGTAGGTCCCGCTGGGTAGTCAACTTGTCACAACAAAGAAAAGAGCTTCTTTAGTATCTAGGCAAGATAAAAGATCAACAAAACAGCAATGATAAGCTATAGAAAGAAGTGCTTTTGCTGTTGTTAAAATACTCGGGTATTTTATGATGGGTTGGTAAATGTAAAGAGTGAAATCGGAAGCGATTTTCCAAAAAAAAAAAACGGCCTTTTAAACTTACTTTTGGCTTATAAATAAATACATGAATTTTGTAATTGCTACATCGTTAATTATAAATGCAAGGCTGGTTAAAAGATCGGTTTGTGAATATTCTTTTGTAATAAATTTTCGTGTAAAATTTTTTTGATAATCCTCGATTATGATTGGTCAATTTTGGGGTCAAAACAAATCGGCCGATATGATATGCATTTTGATGTTAGTGAAAATAATGTGTCAAAACATGTAACCTGTAATTCTGATATTAATTACATCAGTTAATTACTAAAATCATGAATTCGATGTTACCTAGGGTCGAAGAGCTTTAAAATAAAAAGGTGAATCTTAATAATCAAAAAGGCAAACATTTTGTAAAATTTGTTTCGTAATAAACAAATTTTTTAACAAAAAAATGTTAAGCTTTATTAATAAAAGAATAATAAGATAAATACGTATAAGATAAAATAGAAAAAAAAAAACGTAGATAGTTTAGATTTTTTGATATTTCAGATAGCTCAGATTAGTGATTGGCGTCGTAATCATGTGATGCTAATTGTCACATGGTACAATTTAGCATCACATAATTACGACGCCAATCACTAGCTTAGATAATATATATATAATAAGACGTGTGACTGCTCACGATTTGCACTTAAACGAATCATTAAACAAAACATCAAAACGAACATATAAAGATCTATCAATAAATAATTTTAAAATTATATAGTTATATAAAATCACTCTTCTAAGTTCTTATTTTCAAAGTATTCTATCAACTTGTTAATAGGATTTTCATCTGACTCATACAATTCTTCTAAATACTGATGACCTATTTCTACGAGGAGTGGAATAATTGTAATATCATCCAATTTTATCGAATATTCGAACGAAACTTGCCATCGCTGATATCTATTTTCTAGCATAGAGTACATTTGACGATCAATTTCATTTTCATCATTAGCAATATTAAATTGATTTGATGCCCAAAAAAGTTGATCTCGATAGAGAACTGGCTTTGAAGGATTTGGTATATAATTTCCTGTACCCAATGAAAGTATAAAAACCTTTTCGCTTGCTACTCTATATCGAATAGCTTCATTAAAAGATGTCATTGCTGGATTATTGACATGCATACCTCCATCCGAGAATAAACCTTTATGCCTTATATTATAGGGTGAAAAAAAAGTTGGAATAGATGTTGCAGCCATTAAAGCATCAACAAAAGTATCGTTTTTTGATTCATCATTACGAGCATCATTGCGTGTAAATAAACAAACCGGTGCTGCATTATCTTCATTTATTGCAGGAATAACCAGATCAGTAAGTGCATTACTCAATTTAGTTTGACCAAAATATTCTTTAAATAGGTTAGAGCGACCTTCATCTGTATACTTTGATTTTGGACTCCACGAATTATCCAAAGTAAATAATCTTTTTGAATGATTTTGGTAGATATTCAATAAGTCTGTAGCCGAAAACATTGGCTTAAAATCTGGGTATTCATTGTGCGGTTTAGATAGTCCTGCAGCAACGATACCACCAGTTGAAGTTCCAGTTATCATATTAAATAAATGAGAAATGGGTCTTCTGGTTCGATATTCTATTTCACTAAGCCATAACGCAGGCAGTATTCCTCGTATACCTCCTCCATCAATAGAGAGGATATTATAAACAGGATTCTCGTTACTTCGAGAATTTGAGAAATAATCTTCTTCATATTTTAAATGTATTTTTTCTTTTTTGTATTTGTTAACGCGACATTCGCTCGAATTTTCATTCCTTAATTTTTTGAGGAATGATCTTTGATCATCAGCTAACTTATTTTTAGGATCTAATCTCAAAGATTCAATAATGCATTCAGATGATTTTTCATAATTGGTTTGCTTACAATAAGCTATACTACGTAAACGCCAATATTCTGATGATAAATTTAAAAATGGACTAGCTTCCAAAAGTTCAATAACCTGAGTATATTTTGACAATTTTATTAAAGATTCGGTATAACCAAGTGCTGAAACAAGATTTTTAGGATCTATTTCACGTGCATTCTCATAATTATTTTGTGCACTGTTCCAGTTACGTAGGCTGTTAAGTCTATCGATTTTGTAATCTTTTTCGGCCAATTGTTCAAAGTAAGTTGCTATATTATTGTATATTTGTATTCTTTCCGGCTTAGATTTTGCTTTTTCCAGTTCATCCAGATAATCAAAATATTTTTTATTTTCGCTTTTGGATGGAGATAAATCAGGTGAATCTTCGGGAAAATCCTCATCGAACATTTCTTCAGATGTTTCTTTACCTTCAATAACCCAAACAAAATCTTGCAAAATATCTAAGCGTAATTTAGATGTACCAACAAATTGATAATTGCCGTCTATTGACTTTCTGATTTCATTAATAATTTTGATAGCTTGATCAATTGTCTCTGAACCAGGAGTTAACATATCAAGAGTTGCAATATTAATTCTTGCAATATTACGTATTTCTTCCAACCTTGAAACAAAGGGCATTTTTCTAGCGTCGGATGCATCTTGTATGAATAAATAATCATATTTCTTCCAGCTAATGGGGGAATAAAAACCTCGTGAGATATAAGATTTATTATTTTCTTTTCGTAATTCATGGATACGGTCATCTAACTTTTTGGCGTCATTCACAAGATTTTCGTTCAATACTCCGTGAAAAACATTCTTAGCAAAAGCTTTCAAATCATTTGCATTTTTTCCATCAATCTGTATTTTTCGACTAACTAAGGTTTCTCCAATCGAATTTAATAAATAAGCAATACAATCTGATCTAATATGATTATCTCTACATGTCTTTATTATATTTGTAGGAACAATAACGTCTTCAGGATTTTTTAACTTTAAGATGCTGTCACCTTTTTTATATTCCTCTGAAAGTATATTGATAAATTCTTGATATTCACCCTTATCGTAAGCATCCAATGCATTATTTATAATTTCAGTGAGTCTATTACGAGATGACATATTGAAAAATTCAATGACATCCGGTATTATTGGAACAATAGTACCAATAGCATAATATAATGTCGATTCAATGAATATAGATGATTTACATCGAACCAAATCACGATCTGGTTTGAGCATTAATTCAGAAATTATTTGTTCTATATCTTTATCAATTGAATGTTGATAACAAATTTTTTCGTAAATGGAGTTCTTTGGCCCCAATTTTTCTAATTCTAATGGGATGCTATCGGATTTTTCGCCAGTATGACTATTATTACTATTACCTTTAACTTTATCAAGTATTTTTTTTATTCCTATATAATCCTGAGATGTCGGTGTTGGGCATTTTGTAAGTATCATACGAATTGCTGATAAAGCATACAGTTGGGATTCTAATGATTGATCAGTTATATGTAAGCATAATGCCATGTTCTCTCGTAATTTTATTTGTTTTTTTATGTCGCTTTCATCAACAAGTTTGCAAGCTTCTCGATATTCCTCAAAGGCTAATTTTCCATTAGCTATACTGAAACCTTTTAATTCCTCAGAAGAATGTTTATTTATTTCTCTTTGATTTAATACTCTCAGTTTATCCCATTTTCCTTCAGCTGCATTACGGTAATCAATCGCAATTTTCCAAAATTCATATGCTTTTTCTTCATGAATTATATTTTCCAAGTCTGCCAACAAACGCTTTTTAGATTTCACAATATGTTTAAATAATTCTTCACCCAGATTCTTATGTTCGTCTCGAAGTGAAGTTGGGGCATTGAAATCACCCGTTTTATCGGGATGAAAATATAAAGCAAGCTCTTTGAAATGTCTATTAATTTCTCCACTTGTAAACGGAATACCGCTAAAAATGATTTCTGTTTTATTAGAAGAATTCAAAACATATAGTATAAAGGAAATTCTTTTATCGTAGGCAATATCACTTGCTAGTGCATTTAAACTAGTCAAGGAATTATTCAATTCTTCCTTTACATCAGCGTTTAAGGCCTTATTATTTAATTCTGCAATGGTAATGTTACCAACTTTTTGATTCAATGAAGTCTCGCAAATAATTATCGTTTTATAACTTTCAAATGTCTTTGGTGTTTCATATAAACAATTGAAAATTTCTCGAAAAGTTTCAATAATGTCATTTTTTTTTAGGATTCCCTTAATTTCTTTTAATCTTTTTTCAACTTCATCTACGTATTTTTCACCAGGGTTGGCAACTTTATTGAAAATTGTAATTGATTTTTCTTCGTGTATATCTTCATTTTGGAGGTTTTTTGCATACTGTTCGAATTTTTTTGCTAGAGAGTTTTGTTTATTAGAAAGTTCCATTTCACCAATAGTTTTTAAACAACTAGCATATTTTATATGATAATTAAATCTATAATATCCATGTTTCTCTGTATCATCTTCTTCTATTTCATCAATTATCGCTTTTCCTTCTTTAAATTTTTGTTCAATATCGGTCAGATTTTGAAATTCATTTTGAAGTTTATCTGATTTTTCTATTTCTAAAAAAAAGGCGTCAATTTTTTCCATTTGAGAAGTCATGTCATGTGTTGTTATCGTTAATACGTATAACAGCTTCAACAAATGTTTATTCGAGTCTTTTTTTTATTTTTTTTTATAGATACGAAGGACTTTAAATTTATTTTATTTGCTGGTTTGAGAGTGTTTATTGGTTTCTTACAAAAAAAATGCTCAATTTTTCACGAAAAGGCCGTAATAAATGTAAAATACAGAAATAATAAGTAAATAGATGTATAGTAAACCGGTTATTGCGCCATTATCGAAATTGTTAATGAGATTATCACGAGCTTGCCTGATATTACACAATATTTCGTTTGACTTGTGATAAAATAAGTATTGATTTGCTTTTTATGCCTTTGATATTTTGCTATAATACTTAATTTTTATACAATTTTATTCTTTTCTGTCTAATATAGTATAAACTTATGAATAACATTCCATTCATTCCACAATACTGCATCCAACTTTAATTCTTGTTTTTCTACGAAAAAGGCCAGAAAATATGTAAGATAATAAAACAGATAAAGTTAGGTTCCATGTTTGTGTTCTGATTCTATATCTAAATAATCCAAGTTTATCCTTAATCCGGGTAATTCGGGTATCCGGATCATAAATTTTTACTTGGATTTTTGAATATTTAGGCTTACTTTCTTTGGTTACTGAACCTAATTTTATGTCACTAAAGCGTGTTCATTGACAAATTAAAATCCGTGAAAGAATTTCAAATAAAGGCACAATGGCACGCCCAAAGACTTGCTTTATACATAATTAGATGCGGATTTCCATCCTAAGTCATATCTGTAAACAATATAATTTTTAGCCTCATAATTTATACTGTAGTACGTATCAACACACATGCATGCATAATTGCACCATATAACTGCTATCGGTACTAAAGTTCTTTGGTGTTTTACAGTAAAAATAGGTTATAATACTGTATATATAACTTATATGGATCGATATTGATTTGTCAGCTTAACATATTCTTTTAATTGCTTAGTCACATATGTACGTATGTATGTACATCTACTAAAAATAAGTATTTTCATCAGACTTTCAATTGTATTTTGTGCCGGTGCTACCTTAGTTGAAAGAGCATCACTAAAGGAAACAATTAGAGTAGATAATTTATTATTAGGAACGATTTATGAGAATATTCTTATTATGAGAGGGATTTATAGAGCATGTAACTTCTATTCTTACATCGAGGTGGAGAGTTAACATGTGCAGAGGTTATTGATATTCCTATTCTTAATAACATTGCTTTCCCATAACAATCCGTCATCAGAACATTTAATCAATAAATGTATAGTAGATGTTTTTACTATCTGTTTGGGAGAGCGATGAACTATGGGACCAATTAGCTCAGATAGTAAGCAAGATAACACGAACGATTATGTACTGTTGGGTTTAAGGATATGCGACAAGACAATTTCGGATGCAAACAAATCGGGATAATTATGGTGGGTGCTAACAATAAGAAGATGGTTAGATTAGTTTATGATAAACAATTAAGTTGTATGCACAATGCACTTTAAATAAATGAGGGCTAGAAATAATAAATAATTCTATGTCGAATATAACAAATGACAAACGAAAACACACACAAAGATAAATAAATAAATAAGAAATAAATAAAGAAAATAAATAGAGAAAATGAATAGAGGAAATAAATACAAAACACTAGATAGAACTTAATAAAGACAAATAAATAATAAACTAAAAGTACGCTAATCAAAAAATAGAATGTATCTTAAATCAAAGTCTGAGAAAAAGATAAAGTGAAAACATAGGCTATAAATACATGCTTGGTCACCTCTGGGTCATTAAACTAAACAATCTAAGTCTAATACTATCTCATTCTAATGCTACTCAACACCGAGATCAATAATTATCATGAGATGGGCATGAAATCAAAAGATTAAAGTGAAGAAAACTTAGTTTGACATTATGCGAGTAGATCAACACAGAACGATCAACGCAACTTACGATAATCACATGCCAAACATGAACAATTAAGATTATAATATAAAAAACTTTAATCTTAACTTTAATCTAACTTTAATATAAATCTCACCCTAACCCTAACTATTCCCAAATTTGTTTAAATTAGGTTAAATAGTTGGTTATTGTTTAAATAAAAGTAAAAATAAGATTTTTAAATAAATCTTATAATTATTATAAAAATTTTAGTATATTATGACTAAATATTTTAAGCTAATTTAAATAGTTATTTTTTTTAAAATATTAAAGATGCGAAAGGAACTAATTTGCATATATTATAATTTTATAATAATTGTAAAAAATCAATATTTTTACATCCAGTCATGATTTAATAATTTGGGTAGTTAAATTTCGATTAAATGGCCGGATTATTTACCATTCCTGGGTTGGGTCGGGCATATAAATTTTTATTGGGCTTGGCCCGAGTTTAACCTATTTCAAGACACATATGCATTATTATTATCGTTATGCGGTATTAATCATAGCTGCCGCAACAAATTTGGACCGGCAGATCCTCGATTTTGATTGGCTAGCGGCCGAGGATCTTCAAAATTTTGGCCCACATTACAAAATTGTTTACTAAATTCCGGCCGGAATTAATTTTTACAAAAATAGAAATTCTTAAAAAATAAGCCACATTATTGACCCAGAAACAATTTTCACTTAATAGGCGGTTATGATTTCATTAGTAAAATTATGAGTAATTCCGGCCTAATTTTTTGATTGTCGCTCTTAGCCAATCAAAATCGAGAATCTGCCGGTCCAAATTGTTGCGATAGCTATTACTATGGTTAATGACAAATTTGACGATCCTTAATAACAATATTATATAATTTTTTCCAAATTTGAGTCAGTAACTGCCTATCAAAAATCAACAAATTTTTTTTATTTTAATTCTGTAAATCCATAGAATCAAAATAAATATTTCATCGATTTTGGATAGATATTTATCACCCAAAGCTTAAAAAAAATTTAGATGATTAACAAAACAAATACTGTGGCTAAGTTCTTTCCAAACTTTGAGCGAAGATATTTCAGTTTTATGAATCTATAGAATTAAATAAAAAAATTTTCATCGATTTTAGATAGTGTTAGTAGTTAAACTAGATATATACAAGTCTAGATAGTTACCACAGGAAGACAATAACTAACAAAAACCATATAACAAACTAACAATAGTGAGGTGGTTAAGATTTGGCAAGGGAAAAGACTTTAGGATTGATTTATTATGAGTTTATATGAAAACAAAGGTTTTCTATATTTACCAAAAATGTCAAAGTTTTTGTTTTTATCAGAATCAAATTTTTATTACTTTTCTTCAGAACTGAACTGAGCTTTCACCAGAGCAAATTACAAGTCTATTTATACAAAAAATTTGATACATATTGACAAAAAAAAGAAGAATAGAATTACAACTTCTCATCACATCATATTGTTTACTTTTTAGACGATCTTTGGATAATTAGGTCTTCACTTACATGAATGTAAATATTTATCCCACATGATTTGCTTTACCTAGCAGTGTCACTGCCTATCTAGCCTTTTTGGACGATGCTTAGTTAGCATTTTAAACCAGGTAGCCATCCTATGGTTTTTTCCTTATGCCTCATCTGAAAATTTACTAATCCATAGTTAGGGTGCGGGACAGGCCAGGCTAAGCCCGAAAACTTTCGAACCAGGCTGGGCCTATAATTTTTGAGCTTGCTATTGTCCGGGCCAAATACAATTTGGGCTTTTTAAAGATCAGGCCAGTCTTAGGCTTATAAGAAAGCCCGATTAGGCCCGATAATACCTGGTAAACTTATAGTCAAAATTATAATCTAAGTAAATTAACCAATTGAACTTTTTCTTTCTACTTTACAGCTATTATCATAATTCCTGGTATACCTGTCTGAATGATTTTTCAGCCAATCTGGTTAAGTTATATGACCTGTATAATAAAACAAGCTATTTTTGATCATTTTACGATTGTAATAACAATAATGTCAACATTTTAAATTTTCGTTCGAATGCTTGTTCAAAAATATTTGATGTGCTTTAGTTTAAATGAAAATTTATAAAAAAAACTGTTTATTCAACTAATAAACATTAAGAAGGAATCAAATATAAATTAGATTTTTATAACAAATATATTACTCAGGTGCCACTATTAATATGATCGACTGGTTTAAAATGAATCTCGAGTTAGGATTCCAAGTGACCAATTTATTATAATATTTGTCAAGAATGCATAAAGAATAATGATAAACGAAATTCAAGTAAAAAATTTTATATGTTTATATTTGTTTATATATTTTTCATCTTCGACAAAAAACGAAAAATAATTAGAAATAAATAAATGCTTTCGTCTGAACAAAAATATCTTGCCAAAGAATAGGAATCAAAATTTAGTTTAATTTTTTAAAAACAAAATTTTTATCTTTGACAAGAAACGAAAGATAATTAGAAATAAATAAATGTCTTCATTTGAACGAAAATGAATCTTGACAAAGAATAGGAAATGAAGTTTTATGCAATTTTTTAAACCCTAATTTTTGTCGCAAAATAATTAGAAATGAATGTCTTTATTTAAATAAAAATGGATAATAGAAATTAAAATTTTACACAATTTTTTTAAAAACAAATTTTCATTGAAAAAGAATTAGAAATGAATAAAGGCTTTGTTTGAATGAAAATAGAACTTGCCAAAGAATAGAAATTGAAAATTTACACAATTTTTTAAAAGCAAATTTTTGTCAAAATTTAAAATGAATAAAGGCTTTGTTTAAGCAAAATTGGATCATGCCAAAGAATAGGATTGAAATTTTACAACTTAATATATCATTATTGCTATACTTGTACAAGATTTGCCATAATGAACCTTTTCCCACATAATTTAAAACAATAATATAATCACCTGAATAAACTCTTGCACATTTTTGTTTGAATCATGAATCACTTTAAGTGCAACATTATTCCATCAATTATAATTCTATCTTTCTAAAGTGCGTAATATACAGTTGCAAATTTCCTTTTCC